CTCTAAGAAATCTCTTGTAAGAAACTCTAGACTAAAACTGCCAAAGATAAGGCGTGTGTATTGCTCTTGTTCTTTCTAGTGGAGTTTGGGATCAAGAGTATCCCACGAGAAGTACCAGCGCGTTGCTGGAAACTCGTTAATTGCTTGTGTTTTTATTTTCTGCAAATTAACACAAACAATCGAATCATTCAGAAGACAATTGAGTCAGCTTCCGCGAGTCGAATAACTCAACAGTTGCAAATATTTTTGTATGGATCACATACTATACAAATGAAAGGAAAAAGAAGAGTAGTCTTTTCTGGGAAATTATTCAAGTTATTGAAAGGAAAAGAGGTTCTAAGAACTATCATATTGAAAAAGCTTCTCTTGTAATCTTTATACATGGAATGAATTTAGATTATTGAAAAAGGCCTCTTGGAAAAATGTTGTTACGAAGGCCTGAGACTGACTATATACATGGAATGAATTTAGATTATTATTATTAGGGTATTACCATCCTTCGAACTTCGTTTTTATTTGGGTCTTGTGTGGGCTGTATCCGGCCCAATTATAGTTAATCTTTTGGCTCGTTAAAATATATAAAAGCGGATGTTAAAATATATAAAAGAGGATGGAGACAATTAGGAGAGAAAATAGAGAGTATAAACCGTAGCGTATAAACGGTAGAAAGTAAAAAGTGAAGAGATTAATTGCGAAAAATTAAATGTGAATGATAAAACAATTAGGAAGCGTATCAACACGGATCCTAATCTAGTTTCTATATTAAAAAAACATCACATAAGAATTACAAAGAAAGAGGTTAATTTTGACAGTTTCAAGACTTCTTCTATAGGAGACTGAGACTATTTTCCTTTTAATATTTAGGAAGTGTTTGAATGGATTTAGTGATAAACATTTTGTAAGTTTTGTTTGCTGCAAACCCTTTAATGCAACAAAAAGTTCGAAGTTTCTAATTAACCAAGAAGAAGGATGGAGGAAGACACTATTAGGACATTTTTTGCATCATGAGACTAAGTAGAAGAGACGGTTTCAAGAGAAGAAGTTTTAAACAAACTCCCATGATATACAAAGCAGAGTACATGAGAGTGATGATGGACAACAAAATTTTGAAGATCGTTGCGTGATCCAATTGAGAAAGGTGGCACATTTGATGATGAAGCTTACCCGAATACATGTCCGGCTCAACATCTTTAAAGGTCCAGATCAAAACAAAAAAAAGTTCTTATTTAAGCTAAAAAAAGACAATAAAAAACTGGACCCTAAATATTATTTTTAGGTCGAGAACAAAACAAAAAATCGGATGGGTTCTATGCAAATGCATGCACAGGGTCGGGCCTGCCCGAAAATGCATGCATCTTGTTGTTTAGCTATTAAAAGGATGTTATTTTTAAGGTTTAAGAGTATATCAGGAGTGAGGTTAAGATGGGATGCCAGAGAGTATACAAAGTGAGCTAAGAAATCCAAAACTGTACCCCAAAAAAGTGAGCTGAGAAACAGAGCTTTTGTAATCAATTGATCAAGATCATAGTTTGTAATGGATCAAGTTCTAGTAATTTCGAGAT